TGAGGCACAAATTAATCCTTTCTAGTTTGGCTTAAGGTCACCTTGCTGTCATTTTAAAGCCGACTGTCTAGCTAAGGCAGATCCTGCAGGAATTCTAGCGGTGTTTACGGATTTGGCACCCACCCATCATGAGCAGAACGCTGTGTAGATGAGGATCTTTTCAGAGAACCCTAGTACGTCAGATGAAACCACAGCATTGCTGACCCCAAGTTAACACCCCGGCGGCGGTTCCAGAGGCAGCCTTTAGCTTCCATTAGCAGACGTTAGCTGCGGCATTGGGCAGACCAGTATACTCTGGGGAGTAACTAGTACCTTATTAAGTTATAAATATAATACATTCAATGGCTTTAGTATTGGTTTCTTATTTTGGAATACGAGGGGAAGAAAATAGAACATATAATCACTACAGTCTAAGTAAAAAGCCACTATTTTTATGTGTATTTACCTACAATATTGCTCATGAATTACCTTTTTTTACAGAGCCCACACACTCCCTCAAAGGACAACTGCAACTCTCCTGCAATTGCACCAAGCTACCTGCAAGTCTCAGCTAGCTTATCCAGAAGAAATTAATTAAAAGTGGTACAGATTTTAAAATCAAATTGTTTGGTTTTGATTCAAACTAGCCAAACCAGTTCAGAAAAAGCCCATGAGACCTCTCTCCCCACCCTTTCTGGTTTCTCGTTAAAGGGGAAAATGCCATTCGTGCCCATTTTCATTCCCTGAACTTTAACCACAGAGTATTTTCTCTAAAAGAACATAAGAGTTGGAAGGAAGGGCACAGAGTCCTTATATTTCACTTATCTGTGCTGAGAAAGAACATATTTAAAATCACTCATCAAATAATGACTGTTACAGCAGGTTCAAGCTTACCTCATTTCCAGTTGCTGACCTGCTGGGCCAGTTCTAGAGTTGGGCACCCTCCAAGATGCGCAGGGACGGGACTGTCTCAAGGAACGCTTCCGTGGTTTGGTGGAAGAAGCGGTCCCTGAACTGACTATGAGGAAATCTAAATAACCGCACAGGTGCTACATGCTCCATACGGGTAACACCCGCACATCCCACCCCCTTCTGTTCCCAAACGCGAACGAACCGCTGCACCTCCTCTCTCCTCACAAGGACCACAGCGCCACTTGCCTTTCCCTCGGCGGGGGGGGCCGGGGGGAGGTGTGTGCTATGGGGACACCTCTTCCTAGGTGGGCATTGTGGACTGCTGGTAAACCAGGGCCATGGCCGGATCCCCAGGAGGGGTGACAGAGGGGCAGGAGAGGTCACCATGCCGCAGGGGCTGAGCTACTTGCCCTTGGACAGGATGGACAGGCCCCTCCGCAAATAAAGGCTAGAAATGGTTCTGGGAGACTTCTTCTCCATACAGAGAATGGCTGAGCTAGCCGAGGCAATCTGTAGTTGGCTTCAAAATCAGGAACGAGGAGGGGGAAAAGCCTCACAACAAACAGTGGTAACAGAAGGTTTGTGTGGGAAGGTGGTTAAGTTTGGTCTAAAACAAGCAGTGTCTCTGGTAATGAGCTGTTGTTAGGAAATACGCGGGCCCGGTGCTTGCAGCCTTTGAAAGAGCACCGCTGCTGCTGCTTCTTAAGGGCTGGGTTTTTGGGGGGGCGGGGGGGGACAGGGGAAGGGCAAAGAGAGGTGAAGTAAAGACCCAACTAAAGCCACCGCCGTGCGTGCCAGCCACGAAGCTTTGTGCTGGACTCCCAGCTCCACTCCAGCTGCGGCGCGACCTTCGGTACCATACCTACCGCTTCTCTGCGCCACAGCTGGCTCGTCTGTGAGAGGACACCTAGGGTACCAGCCGAGGTCCTGGGAGGACACAGATGGCACACTCAGAGGGGGTGACTGAGCGGAGTTTCATAATGGGACTATTTACAAGGGGTGTGGGCAGGGTTAAGGGACTCCAACGAGGACAGTGAAGTACCCAAAGGGTGGCAGAAGCAGGCAGTCAGAACCGATCCTTTGCTTGAAGGGACAGGGGGAAGGTGTGGTTACCAAACTCTAGAAGTCGCCTGACAGGAACTGCCAAGCCACATCTGGCAGGAGGGAGCCGGGAGCGAATTCCCGACTTCTGTCTTCTCCGCCAAGCTCCCCCCAGTGTCTCCTGTGGATCCTGACCAGAAACCAGGAGGGCAGGTCCACAGAGGCCAGGCTCCTGGAGCGAAGTGCAGGCTGGGGAGGGGACCCGGAGGAGCACACGGAATATCCAGCGCACCCAAATAGCTGATGGGCCGGCAGGGCTTACAACAGAGATAATCCTCACAAACGTCTGCACGGTAAACACTCACTGCCCGTTGATCAGACTATTTGGCGTTTACTTACCAAAAGGCCACAATATAACTTTATTCTCAGGTGGCAAAAGCCAAAATGAAAACGAGATGTGGTCATCAGAGTGAAAAACAAAACTTTTACAAAGTTTACAGATAACATTTATTAAAACATGTCATACAAAAGGGCATGGTCTCTTCTATAAGAAGAAAATATTAAACAGTAACATTCAGTTAAGTAAAACCATGCTGTACACTGAAGACAGCAATATATAAAGACAAAACTATTCAACTTTTGCAACACAGGCATAACATTTCACAAAATATCAATAAGATATGCACCTAATGATAATCTGTTTATCATCAAATGGTTTTGTGGCCTAAGAGTCACCTGACTTGCATAAATAAAGTACTTTTCTGGAAGAAACATCGGGAACCTCATAAAAGGAAAGAAGGCAGCAGCAACTAACATGACACGGGCTTCAAGCAGAAAATTCTTCTAGAAAAGGTCACATTTGCAAAACGTGTTCCAGCATCTTCCCATAGGGCACTATCAGTAGAGATTTGAAATAAGAAACTTGTACCTTCAAATATGTAAGTAGCAAAGAAAAAACCCCCAACCAACCCTGGTTTCAATGAACAAAGTTAGCCACCCATGAAAGCAACCTAAATCTCAGAATCAGTGGGGTTGTTGTGACGGCCCCTCCCCAACCACCCAGGGGGCTGCAGCACAGCCCCTTCCCCAGGGAGAGTGCGGCTCTGAGCGCTGGGCCTCAGCCTCCCCTCCACAGCAGCTCGGGGGTGTGGTGCCTCCGCAGGGGGTGGCCGCTGGGGCAAGCAGCTTTCCCAAACAGCTGGAAGCCAGCCTAGGGTCAGTTCAGTTCAGCAAACACCCACTAAAATCGAGGGGACCCTTTTGGGCAGATTCTTTTAAAGTAGTGGCCAAAAGGGACAGAGAGGAAGGTGAGACCTAGAAACAACAGGCTGGGGCCCAGGAGCGCCTGACGGCAACCACGACACGGGAGGGGAAGTCTTCCCTCTTAGCCTGACACCGACGCCTACTTCACCAAGGGGATTCTCTAAAATGAAAGGCATGGTATAAGCACGAACATTAAATACCACTGGTGGTGCCTTGAAGCCCTTTCCCACTGGGATTGGAGAAAAACCACAGTTAAGACTCAAAGCAGGGGACAAATACCTTGGTTGTAGGCCATTGACATGATCCCTGAAAGACTGTTTAGAAAATCTTACCCACAACTGTCCAAACTCATTAGGAAGGATAAAGATTTTCTAAAGATGTACTGAGGCTGAGGGGAGAAACTCTCACTCCAACCCAGGATGGAGAGGAAAAAAGGGAAAAAAACAGTTTATAAAAATTCACTTTCAACATCCAAACCAAAGCAATCCCCTTCTCCTGCCTCTCTGAACATGGCCAGCATTTCAGACACCCCACCATCTCATAGGGTCTGACTAACCAATGAACAACCCCGATTTTTACCAAAAACCCCAACCATCACAAAAAACTCACAACAGCCGATGTGAGAAACTTATTGCAGTTCTACATTTAGTAGCTGGTGTACATATAAGGAGTTCGACAAAACATACTCTTCTCTCCACAGCACATTTAAGTAAGTCCCGGCACCACTGGCTGCTTCCAAAGCTACCACCCAAGGGCTGGCCACCCCTCCTGGCTGAACAGAAATTCTTCATCATGACTCACGACAAGGGCGCTATGCTGATTTCAGCATAAGTGAAGGACCATGATTTTCCCAGAATAGCTTTATTTTACCTCTCAGACTCTTCTCTCCAAGGGTCCCCAGGCTCATATGAATATAATCATTAATGGGAAACAGCACATGGAACCTCCCCAACAGGTAGAAAATGCTTTGCTAATACCAGGGGAGAAGGTGATCAGCTTTTGGCAGAACAAAATGGCTTCTCTGCCTTAGTACTGAAATCAGTAGGAGGCATAAAACAATTTCTCCTCACACATAATGGCTAGGATCATTCCTAAAACCCATTGGCCTCTCACATGAGAAAGAGAGAAGGAGCAATTGAGCCTGATGGTACAGTCACCTCTGTGTACTTCTGTCAGGTACACAGAGAAAGGACTGTCAACTGGTAAAGTTTCAAAACTAAGAGAAGATGATATCAATGTGGCAAACAACCAAGAGGTAATATCTAGTTTCTAGGTTAAAAAAAACAATATATATATTTATAATAAAGTTTTAAATACAAAGTGCTTTTTATATATCGAGAATGATACAGTGTTACTGAATAAATCCCTGTTTTGTAATCTTGATTACAAGAGTTAACTGGTAAATAAGTATTTTCTTTCCTCTTTCCAGACAACGTTCAATAAGTAAACACCTTGGTGTTAGGAGCTTGAGAATCAGAGGCTGTTGCCAGCAATGTCTATCACATTAGAGCAAAGCCAAACTTTTAAAACAAAATTTCACCCCAAATCCAAGAAAAATTATTTTTATTTTAAGGAAAAAAAGTTTCTATTTAGAAGTAACAGACCAGTAAGTTTACGGAAAAGATGACATAATAGTAGCACCCTGTCCTACCCTGATGATAACTTCAGGTATATTACACAGCTTAAAAGCATTCTGAATATATGCTTTCTTTTTTGCCTAAAAAATCTGACTGACAGCAGAAAACGTCTAAGGATAGCTGCTTTTTTTGTTTTTTTGGTAGGTATAGCTATGTGGACTTGTAAATTTAAGCAGCTTTATCTACGATTTGGGAGCATGAATCTGTAGACTACTTTGCTAAAATTAGGACTCCTTTCCCCTTTTAAAAACACATTCCAGCACTCATAAAGAGCTGGCAGGATTAGCTCTGTACCTCTCTGAAGAGTATTTCCCCCATCAGTGTATTCTCAAGATGCTTTTCTTGGGCAGTTTTTCCTCCCTCAAGTATAACCTGCCACTCCTAAAATTCTGCTTCTCCACAACTCTCACTCTGTTCGTTGGAGTGTCACTGTAGCACTCCATTAACTCCTAAAGTTCACAGGTAACTCCCAGCCATGGCTTTTGGCTTCTTCCCACTAACTGTGGTCACTGACTGTCCTCTTTGGGAAGCACCATGATCTAAGACAGAGCGACGGCAGCAGATTGTGGTCAGAGTCCCAGCAGGCTAGATGCCTACCATTTGCAGAGTAGATCCCACTGCGTGGACGCTACAATTAAACGCATAGGATTTGGGACCGCAAACCAATTAGAAATACCTATCTCTGGCACCGTAGAGAATTACAATTAGATACAACTGTTCAAACTCAACATTAGTACTAAAATACAAAATTTTCCCTTACCAAGAGTTTGAAACATCTTGTGACAATAGTGGCATCTTACAGAAATTGAAGCTAGTACCGTAAGTTATTTGTTTCATATTTAGAATGTCATCCTCTAGCATCTCTATAGTTTTACTTAGAATACCCTTTAGAAAGAATAAAACCAGACAAGAGAGCTCTGTTAATCAATTGCTCATCCTAGGAATCACATTATTTATAGCTTTTACATAAGGAGCATTTCATTCAGTGAAGCAGCTACCAGAACAAATCCACATTACCTAAGTATCTATAGTAAGAGCAAAAAAATTTCCGCATGACCTCGTAATAAGGAGTGATCAAGAACTGCTGCCACGTGAAATGGAACTGGTAGGCTGGAGTCCAGTTCCAAGTGCAGGTGTCTAAGTCCACCTGCTGCAATCACGACTGGCCTGAAGGTTTACCTTGCCAGCTGGGCCGTGGGCTAACTTGCCCCCATTACCCATTCCAGGCCAGGACTGGAACACACAAATTTGAGGAATTAGATTTTTTAATTGGCCTACTTAGAGCTGGTCTTTCAGAAATATCTTCCTTTTTTTTAAGCTTCTCTCATAATAGCAAGTAGCTCGCATCATCTGTGCCCAGATTTGCATTAATTACCATAGTTTATTTTTGTGCATGCCACTCAAGGGCCAGATCCTATTTTTAGTTAGCCTCAGTTGTATTCTGCTCAGCCTTTGCAGCTTCGTAGGACTTGGTACAAGAAGTCACATGCCGGTGGAAACTGTCCCTCCACATAAACCTCTTTGCACAGATATTGCACTCGTATGGCTTTATGCCCGTGTGAATTTTCATGTGGCCCACGAGATGGTGCTTCATTTTGAATTTCTTACCACAGACACCACAGCCGTAAGGCCGGAGACCGAGGTGCATGCTCATGTGTCGATCTCTCTGGCTCTTGTGAGTGAAACTTTTCCCACACTGACAAGGATACAGCTTGTCGGTGGCTGAGAATCCTAAGTGGGAAGCTTCTTCTTTAATTCCCGTGACCATTTCGATATTCTCACTGTAGCCTGCTGCTAGGGCAGCCTCCTGTCTGTGCCCAATTAGATTCCCATCTGACCGCTCTCCAGAAAACTCTTCCATGGAAGAGCCATAGAAATCCACCTGCTCATCGTAATTGCTTTCATCAGCCTGTTCGTCAAACTCTGCTTCCACTTTTTTTTCCCCGATGTGAAAGTCCTCCTCCACCCCTGAAGGCTGGATCGAGTGCTCTGTCTGCAGAGTGTTGATGGACTCAGTGACCTGGTGCTCGTCGTAGGCTGCGTGCACATCCATGCCCTCGCAAGCCTGCTCCAGGCGCTCAGGCTTCACGTGGATCCAGCGTTTGTGAGCCATTATGCTGGGCTTGCTGTACATGGGCCGGGTGTAGTGGAACTCGGCGCTGTCGCTGGCCCCCTCCTCCCCATCCTGGCTCGCCATTTCAGTGCTCAGCCGGTCATGCTCTGTGGACGAGTTGCTGGGCAGGTACTCGTGCTCGGTGAGCTGAGATGACAGCTCATCTTTGATGCTCTCCTCTTCATTCTCGCCATCCCTCAGTTCTTGGGCTTTGGGGAAATCAGTATGACCCCCAGAGCCCAGCTCAAAGCTCTCTACCAGGCCATTATAATTACTGCTACTTGGAGACTGGTGGTCACTGCCATGATTTAGCTTCTGACAAAGGACAGTAGGGTTTCCCTCTAAAACCTCAGTGCATTTGTCTACCACGTGCCACATCTGGAGAAAGCTTGCTGCTGTCAAGTAACTAACAATTTCTGGAGCAGGCATTACCAGACGTCCTGTATAACTAGACAGGAGAATGTTCTCAAACACTCTTGGGTTCATCACATCAGGCAAAACAATTCTCCTACTATTTTTCAGGAGTACCTGGTCACAAAAGTAGGGCGAACTTGCAGCAAGAACAGCTTTGTGTGCCCGGAAAATGTGGCCTTGGACAACAATGGAGACATCACATAACTGTCCTTGCTGGCGCTGCTGGTTCAGTTTCTGTAGAATGGTGCTGGAAAAATCAGGAAATTCTACTCGAAAAGAGTTTGTTCCAGGCTCCATTTCATCACAAATCTTGTTCAGTGCTATAAGAGAAAGAAAAATTAGTACGAATTCCAGCCCAAAGAGAAACTTATTCCATCCCCTTCTCCATCATTAAGAAAAACTAGGGTAGGTTCCAAAGTTCTATTATATAAAGTCCCTAGTCTATGGGCACTAGTGGGTGAAGGATTCATTCCCTAGAGCAAGGCTTGCAGGTGTGAGTGTGCCAAAAGCAGGGACCACCGCCACTCTTCATGGAACTCTTTATTTTGCCTCTGTCTGTGGAGAGAACAGGTTCCAGTGATTGGATTTCTAAGCTATACAAATCCCCTAAGTAAAATAATTACTGTAAATATTTCTAGTTAAAACAAACATGATACCTATCAAAATCATAATACGATTTTTTTTTTTTTGAGATGGGGTCTCCCTATGTTGCCCAGGCTGGAATGCAGTGCTTATTAACAGGTGGGATCATAGCTCACTACAGTCTCGAACTCCTGGGCTCAAGTGATCCTCCTGCCTTAGCGTCCCGAGTAGCCGGGACTACCGGTGCCCACCAACACCTGGCTCAAAACAAGAGAATTTTTAAGCCTCAGATTCCACTCACGTTTGATAAGTTGTGGTGAGGGAGGGAAAACAGAATTGTGGGAAGGAAGAGCATATGCAAAGGCTCTGAGGTAGGAATGAAACTGGCAATTGCAAGGAACTGAAAGGAGACCACTAGCCTAGAGTCCAGTGATGGAGTGAAGGGCAAGGGGGCTGGAGCGGTGGCGCCAAGACAATTGTGCCTTTGGTCTGTCAGCACAAAGGGGCATAGTCACTGAGCCCTGAGCAATGCAGGTTTCTCTAGCTGCTGTCAGAATTTTAGCTCTTTAAGAGCTTCTAATGATGTAAAGCAGAATGAAACTGCAAGGCGAGGAATTCTTTCTGCCTGGTGGTCTCCACACTGTCTAAAGAGTTATAGACCAAAGAAGATGGTAAGTATTGTCCTGGCTACTGAATGGACTTGATCAGAAGACAAAGTTCTAACAAAGAACAAGAGATTACCTGTGTTGCTACTGTAAATATATTGTGTGGAGTAAGGCAAGCATTAGAGGCAATTCCTAACAAATGCAGTCAAGATGAGTCCGCTAGAGATCCTTCATGTTCCATAATTCCATAGCGAATTAAAGCAAACAAAAACACCCAAATGATTTATCAATGCTATCTGTCACCTTGTTCTAATACTATACCCAAACACTGCTAAACACCAAGTTTTCTAAGCATGACATAAAAGAATCAGACAACCCAAACAGACCGAAAGTCATCTTTGAAGGACAGGGAGAGATGATGAGAAGAAACAAACATTTCTTGAATAATTACTATATCCAAGCACTGTATACCTTTTTTCACTTAATCTTTATAATTACACTGCAAATGTAGGGCTTGATATTCTTAGATTAGCTATTTTAAGTGACATTCCCAAGGTTAAAAGCTAGTTTTTATTAAGTTGAGATGTGAATCCAGGTCTGTATGACTCCAAAGTCTATGCTATTTTTCCTATCACACCACTCTGCCTCCTCTAAGATGCCAAAATGCCAAATTAGTCATTAATAATTTTAAAAGGTAAGACAGTGTCTTCAGAATGAAGTATTAATTTATGGTTTTATACATCTTAAAACATTTCATAGTAATTTAAAACAAAAACAGACGATGAAATAAACTATTTAGGTATTTGTAGTTTCAAAAGGAAAAGCTGACTATATAAATGAATAGACTAGAAGCATGAATATTCTGAGAACTACATCTGGGTGAACAGATTCTCTGTTACATCTCACCACTGTAGAATCTTGTTCTTAGCTATCTGAAAAAAGGGTGGGGGGGGCGAGGAGGAGGATAATACATGCACATGTAAAAAAATTATAGAAAGGTGTAAAAAAAAAAATCTCTCCATCATTTATTCCTAGTCACCCCCATAGGAAATCATCATTAAACTCCTGTATATATTTCTAGAAACTTCTCTGTGCATATATCAGAATAAATCATATATATCCTTTAAAAATCCCTACTCAAATGGATTCATTACCTACATTTTATTCTACACTTAGCTTTTCACTTAATATATCTTGGAGATCTTCCCACATTAGTACAAAAAGAGCTAACTCATTCTGTTTAATGGCCACATTGTTTCCTATTATATGGATGTATCATAATTTAAGCAATTCTCTTCTTATAGAATTTCAGTTGGCTGGGGTTTTGAAATTACAAGCAATGCTGTGATGGATATCTGTATATAATTATCTTGGCATACCTTTGGAAATATCTGTAGGGTAATTTCTTCCAGGGGCACTGCAATTATTGGGTTAAGGGGCTGCATATTTGACATTACCAAACCACTTGCCAGAAAGCTTGCCCTACATCACACCCTGACCAACAGTAAATGACACTGTCTACTTCCCACACCCTTACGAAGACTGAATGTCATTAAACAAGAAAAAAAGAGTGTGCAAATATCCTTTCTGACACAATCCACTGCTGTTTTCATCTGCATGTCCTTAATTATGGATGAGGCTAATACTTTGTACTCATGTTTACTGATTATTTGTGGTTTTCTTTCTATAAATTAGTCATATCCTTGGCTCAAACAAATTGGGCAATCAATCTTATTAGCAGGGTTTTTGCAAATTCAGATAAATTATCTTTATCCTATGTTGCAATTTTTTTCAGGTAGCTGACTTTATAGAATTTTTTTTGCCACAGTGAAATTTATGTAAAATAACCATCCTGTGCTTTTATGGCCCCAGGGTTTTGTGTGAGACATAGAAGGGCATTCTCAACTCCAAAATTATTTTTAAAAATAAAAATAATTGTTTAGGTTTTTATCCTGATACCATTTAAAAAATAAATATTTAAACCTTTAATACATGGACTTTATTTTGGCATAAAGAGTAAGGTTGGGGCCGGGCGCGGTGGCTCACGCCTGTAATCCTAGCACTCTGGGAGGCCAAGGCGGGCGGATTGTTTGAGCTCAGGAGTTCGAGACCAGCCTGAGCAAGAGCGAGACTCCGTCTCTACTAAAAATAGAAAGAAATTAATCGGACAACTAAAAATATATAGAAAAAATTAGCCGGGCATGGTGGCACATGCCTGTAGTCCCAGCTACTCGGGAGGCTGAGGCAGTAGGATCGCTTGAGCCCAGGAGTTTGAGGTTGCTGTGAGCTAGGCTGACGCCACGGCACTCTAGCCCGGGCAACACAGTGAGATTCTGTCTAAAAAAAAAAAAAAAAGAGTAAGGTTGGGACTCAGCCCTTTTTCCTCCAAAATGGCTAGCCTATTTTTCCAACATCATTTATTGAATAACCCATCATTTTTTTCATGAAGTTCAAGTATCTGTGGTAGAATTAGAAATGACTGAAAATAAGACATACAAAAACAACTCTACAAAAATAAATGCCGAAAGTGAGATTATGGAAAATGGTAGAGGAGGAAACTCCACACTTGGTCCCTCTACCAACACAACCAAGAAGCTGGAAGATCGATCAGAATCACTATTTCAAACCCTGGAAGCTTGTCAGACACTCCTAGCACAAATGCAGGAAGGGAGAGACTGCCGAATCTCAGAAGGGGGCAGCATACGCGAATCCCCCATTCTTTAGACCTGCCACAGCCTGCTGGAAGGTGGCCCATATTCCTAAAGCAACTGGCTGATGCCAGGGTAGACAGTCAGGAGTAAGAACCTTGTCCTCCAAAAATTGGGGGTTATGTATTTTCATGAGTCTGGTGGACCTACACAGCTTTGATTTGGCCCCCTCAGGCTGCAGTAGCTTCTGGTGGCCTGTATCATAAGATTTAAGAACATCCCCCCACCCAACACGCACACCCAGATCAGATCCAGACATTTCAGGAAATCTCTATCTGGTCCCAAGCAGACTGCATATATAGAAAGAAACTTCAGTGACTATACCCAATAAGGAATACAGACCTTGCATAATAATTTGGAAAAGTCACTACATAAACAGACCACTGTAGCCTCAACAAGTAACAAGAGCAATTCCTGAGGAGGGGGAGAATCTGATTTCCAGAGTTACCACAATATAATACTCAAAATGTCCAATTGTCAACAAAAAATTAGAAGCATATATAGAAAGAGGAACATATGGTACATTCACAGGAAAAAGAATTAGAAACTGTCCCCAAGGAAATTCGGACGTTAGAATTACTAATCACAGATGTTAAATAGACTATTTTAAACATATCCAAAGACCTAAAGAAAATTATGGATAAAGAACTAAAGAAAATCAGGAGAATAATCTCAAAGGATAGAAATTATAAAAGGAGCAAATAGAAGTTCTAGAGCTGAAAAGTATAATAGCTGTGTTATGGGCTAAATTTTATCCCCTTCCCCAATTCGCATGTTGAAGCCCTAATGCCCAGTACTCAAGAGTTTGACTATATTTGGAAATAGCATCTTTAAAGAGGTGATAAAGTTAAAATAAGGCTGTTTTGGTGGGCCCTAACACAATATGATTAGTGTCCTTATGAGAAGATGAAAGTTGGACACACAAAGAGATATCAGGGATGCATATAATCAAAGAAAAGACCATGTGAGGACCTGGTGAGAAGGAGGCCATCTGCAAGCCCAAGGAGTAAGGCCACAGGAGAAACCACGCCTGCTGACACCTTGATCTTGAACTGCTAGCCTTCAGAACTGTGAGAACATAAACTTCCATTATTTAAGCCAACCCATGGTATTTTGTTACGGCAGCCCTAGCAAACTAATACACGCTGAAATTAAAAATTCACAAGAGAAGTTCAATGGCACATTTGAGGAAGCAGAAGAAAAAAAAAAGATCAACAAACTCAAAGTTAAAGGAATTAACATTATCCAGTCTGAAGAGTAGAAAGAATGAAGAAAAATGAATACAACCTGAAATACCTGTGGGACATCATCAAACATACACATCATGGGAGTCCTGGAAGTAGAAGAGACACAGAAAGGCACTGAAAGAATATTTGAAGAAATATGGTCAAAAACTTCCAAAAATTGATTAAATATACGAATCCA